AAAGGAACTTTAAGCACTAACCCCCATGGACCCAAGCAAATTTGGGTACCAAAAATCAAAACTTAATTTTGTTTTGTAGGTAAAGTTGATGGCAAAGTCATAAGAAGAGTAAAGTTGATCTTGATAAAGACTTATGCCTCAGCAAGAATGTCGGAGTGAAAGTACAAAGAAAATTGTTTTTGAATGCTCCACTCATGTGCTCAATTGGTATTATTTATCTTATTGCATTTATTCATTGAGTATAATTACATTAACATGACTATTAATTATTTGTTTATATGTACTCACTCTTTGATACATATGCTTGTTGAGTATAATTTCATTTGATGTGTCTTTTCTAGTATTGATACAACCTTGTTGATTGTTATAGATATTACTTGTATCATATTTACATGCTTGACATATGTGAATGATTAGATTGATTATAGTTCATAATGAGCTCTTGATGGTATAAGTGATTTTCAATGTCATATGTGTCACTTTAAAGATGGTTGATGATTTGATTTAAATGAGTAATTTTAATAACTTGTCTTTACATTGTTTGTCTCATTCAAGTTTACTTGTCTCATTATTTTCATAATTTTAATGATAGCACTTGGAAGTTAAGCATGATCTTAGGAAGAGTCTTAAGTTAAGCATGATCTTAGGAAGAGTCTTACACTTGGAAGTTAAGTACATTAGGAAATTTGTATGTTTGCTTTTTAATGGATGATTTTGGTGATATTTGATTATGTGCAAGTGTATGTCATGCACTTGAATGCTTGCATAGTCATGGTTGATTTCAATGAATAAAATTTTTTATATTTGCTATCATATGATACGATGCATATAAAAAGGAGTAATAGTGTTGAATTAATTCATGTGGTATTCAATGAGACTAACCCTATTTGCTCTAGAAAGAGTTGTGAAATTGTGATGTAGATGTTATTGGGTAACAAAGATAAGAACGAACATTGAAGGCAATAGCATCACACAACCTCCATGTGAAGCAAGTGAAAAGAACAAGATTGAGGAGATGCAACAAGCACAAAAACAAAGGTTATAATTCTACCCAAAAGAGAGATCTTATAAAGGTAATGTGATAAATAATAATATATCTCAAGGGTAAGAAATATACATGTTGTACTTAATGATGGCATTAACATTGTTTTTGGTGCTACTAATGAGATTGTTATATAAGTATGTTTATGTTTTCATGAGTCATTTTATTAAGGGGGAGCTCTATTGTTTGCTCTTCATATGGTCTTTAAACCCTTTTTGTTGGATAACAAAAAGGAGAGAGAATTTTTTTACCTTCATAGTTGCTTGGAATGACATATCTTTCTTTACTACAAAGCCTCTTGATTGTAATAGATTTTTAATATTTGGCCATTTTCCTCTCTTCACATTCAAGATTTGATTCTCTCCCAAAATTTGCCTTCATTATCCATGTACATTTCTTAACTTATTATCATGAATTGTGGATTTTAATTGTATTTGACTTTATGATTGCCTATGATTTTGATGATTATGATCTTAAGTGCTTTCATTGAGGGGGAGCAATTTGTGGATATTGTGCTTAAATCACATATTTTTGATGCTTTAAAGGTTGTATGCATGAATTAAAGGGGAGTTTGTTGATTATGTTTATATGCTTTTTGATGGATGACAAAAAGGGGGAGAAAGTATGCTGAAATTTCTGTTTCCATATGAGCTCTCATTGAAATATATATGTGCTTTCATTAATTTATTTTCGAAGTGTTTTGTCATCATCAAAAAGGGGGAGATTGTTGTACCTTTGATTTTGATGATTACAAACACATTTGAGTGACTAATTGGTTCATTTAAGTGTGTAGCTAAAATGTCAAAAGATTACAAAGTAAGTAAACTTGGACTGCATTAAAAATGGACCAAAAGGCTTGAAAATGTGTAGAGAGCCAGCTGTTAAAACTTGCAGCCAGCTGTGGAGGTGCAGTGAGCTAACTCTGGAAGCTGCAATCGGCTCTATGAGTAAAAACTTAAAGGTCAATCATTTGGCACGCGTGGAGAAAAGAGACAAAGCCGGCTCCAACTTTGCAGCCAGTTGTGAGAGCGCATTTAATGCATAACGGTCAAGTGATTTGAAGATTATTTAATGTTTTTAAAGTTGGAATCCCAAAGCTGGCTTTTAGACTTTGTAGTCAGCTGTGGAAGAAAATAGAATGTGTAAGAAACCCACAAAGCTGGTTGTAGAATTTTTAAGCTGGCTCTACAAAGAAAACAGAATGCAGGAAACCTGCAGAGCTGGTTGCGGAAATGGTAAGCCGGCTACATAAAGACGGCTCTAGGGAGTTAAGCCGGCTATTCTAACAATCCTACAACTCGAGCTTTGCATCCTACAGAGCATTAAATGACTCCCAATGGCTAGTAATGGCTATTTTCGACCATGGGGTTATAAATATGGTTGGTAGAAGATCTAAAGGAAGTTTAAAGAGCATTGCATTGAATATCTTTACCTACCTACATGAGCTTTAACTTAAGTTTTTGATCTTTGAGAGATCTTTGCTTGTAATTCTCTTCTTGTTTTATTTGTGAGTGATCTTGGGAGTGTGATTAATCCTTCAAGAGTGATCTATAGAGAGGACTCTTGGGGTTTATCTTGTAAAGGGGTGAGATTTGAGAAAAACACCCTTTTTCTTGTAAAATGATTGAGTGGCTCCTTTAAGCCACCCTTGATTTTGTTAGTGGAGAGTGTGGAGGAAATCCTTGGTGAGTGAAGTCAAGGTAAAGGACTAGATTCCAAGTGGTTGGACCGAATCTCTATAAAATTATTGAGTAAGCTCTTTTTCTCTACTCTCTTTAATTTTGGTGTTGTGATTGCAAAAGAGGAGAATTTTTGGAACTCCAATTCACCCCCCTCTTAGAGTACATTGAGTCAACAACGGCTAACAGGTAGGTTTGGATGAGTTGTCAAGCTTTGAGTGGCT